GAGCCTATATATATATATATATATATATATATATATATATATATATATGGTTAGGATTAAATACGAATTATAGATATTGTGTGAGTATATGACAAGTTTTAGATCATTATATTACATTTATAGATGGATAAGATTATAGGGTGTACAATAGTTACAATGGAACAAAATACACATAAACATTTCATTTTAATAAAAAAAATTAGAAACATTAATTATAAGCGCATAATTGACATTTTGATTAATTATTAGTAACGAAGTTGAGAGAATTAAGGATATTACAATTATCTTCATTCAAAAAAAATGTTCAGTTATCAATATCAACTCTAATTCTTTGGATATTTAAGAAATGATAGCATGTGAATTGTACTGAAGAATCAAAGAATTCTTCAAATAAATAGAGACGGAGAATACACGTTTATTCTTAAAGAATATAAGTTCATTTAAGAAATTATTTTGATAATTAAATAGGGATGAGCAAAAGGACCGAACCGGACCCGACTCGGGAACCGGCTTCAGCCAAAATCAAGAACCGAACCGGCCCGGCGGTTCTACCAGTTCCCGATTCCTACCGGTTCTTGTCGTGTCTTCAAATGTTGGAACCGGTCCTCGAAAAATAGCATCATACGGTTCCGGTTTTTGCCGGTTCTACCGGTTCCGGTTATATCGGTTCCGGTTCCAAAAATCCACAAAAATAACGTCCCGGTCCTGGCCCGACTGGTTCCGGTGCCGGTTCCGGTTCCGGTTCCGGCCGGTTCTCCGGTCCATATGCTCATCCCTATAATTAAACATTATTAAATAATATGTCTGTATATAATAATATCAATAATAACAATTTGCACCAAAAAAATGGACTATTCTTAAAGAACAATAAAAACCATTCTTATAACATAAACCAATAATGTATACAACGTTTTTTTTAATGTACACAAACTTCTACACTACAATCTTTAAGAATATGGTTTATACTACATTTTTATATAATATACATCATTCTTGAAGAATATAAAAAAATTATAATATATACTACATTCTTTAAAAAATCTGTTTATTTAATGACAAACTGAATTATAAAAACCCTACATTCTTCTCCACTGTTCATTGTTTTTCATCATCGTGGTCATCTTCAAACAACCAACACTACCTACATTCTTGTTTCCCATGAAATGCTTCAAACAACCCTGTTGAAGTATGTCTTTCATCTTCTTCGATATAATAATACACTGTAATAAAAATATAAATCAAGTTACTAAAATGAAATAGAATATCATCTAATATTCTATTATAATGTTTTGCAAAAAACTGAACAACTACAAAAAAAAATAAACTTTTTAATACATTAATGGTTCGTGACAAAAGCAATTGAACACATACTACATTGCATTTCCATATTTTTTGAGAATACAAACATAATTAAGTAAGTTCAACAAATACTACATTACATTTCCATATTCTTTGAGAATATAAACATAATTAAGTAAATTGAATAAATTCCTGTAGAATGGGTATATATATACAAAGTCAGTTGAACTATATGAAAATGATGAATATACATTATTGTCTAAGAACTTATAGCTTGAACTATATGAAAATGATGAATATACATTATTGTCTAAGAACTTATAGCTTGAACTGTAAATTTCTAAAAAAAGGAATAAATTCTCTATTTTCTTATCATAATTCTTAAAAGGTGGTCAGTGCCAAATTCATACTTAGAAAAAAAATGTGACATATAACTTCTCAACCATTATTGGAAACCAAAATAGAACAATCAATGCCACTTTCATAATCAGAGAAAAAAAAAGTTGAAATTTAACATGTGATCTAAAAAACATACCTTTCGTGAAGATCGATGTTCTTGTAATGGAAATTGTTGTTTCAGAATCTAGGGATGTATAATTGCATAAATGAACCTTAAAAAGAGGTGCAATCCATTCAACCAAATATGTCTTATCTTATTTGTGACCCAATCCTCCATAAAGACTCTATAACTTTTTCTGTCACACATGTTTCTTCAATAGTGCAAAGAATTTCCAAAGAGGGTAGCAACAAATGAGCATGCTCCATTCCTCCAAAAATAAGGAATCAATGCACCTAAATCCTAAACAATAGCAAGGAGAACCTCATAATCATCATCATTGTTTTCACTCAAAGATTAAAGAAATATCAAATGAAAAAGATATGTAAGAATTTGAGGCTCAAAATCATCAAATTATGAGGAAAGTTTGTAGCCCCACAAACCAGTTAAGGGAAAGTTTCTTTACAGAAGAGATTTAATTGTAGACATCTTAATAATTGTATAATTATATAAAATTCAAGTCAAATTGACTACATCTTCCAAATAAACTTGATGTTGATTTAATATATCAATTACCAAATGTATATTATATTGCCGCGTAAACATTACAGATTTTGTACAGTAAACCATAACAAAACATATGGATATAATCTAGCAAAAACTAATCAAATGTGAGTACAAATACCACTAAAATATATGAGATACCCTAAAATCTAATCTATAGTTACGTTATGTTCTTCAAGAATATGTGGTGTAAAAGCATTGGTTACTAGTAACCTACCATTTGCAACAACTCTCAGGATGAATGAAATTATAAGAAATTCAGCATATTCTACAAGAATGTATTTGGATTTAATAAGAATGTGAAGAGGAATATATGAAATTAAGTATATTCTATAAGAATGGGATCGAATTCATTAAGAATGAAATAAAAAAATATATACCACTAAAATTTTTATCAGTAAACTAGTAAACACTAAATCAAAACTCCAATTTTCAATAGCTACTTAACCGGTAAACACTAAATCATAATTTTAAAATAAACCAGTAAATTTTAATCACAATTTCAAAATACTTTCATAAACAGAACCAGTAAACTATAATCATGATTTCACAATTCCAAAAGAATCAAAGAATCAGAACTAAGAATAATAATCTGAAAAGGATCGAAGGACGTAAAGGGCAATGGAATTGAATTACCTGAAGAGTGAAGAGTGAAGAAGATTGGGCGGAATGAAGAAGATGCAGTTCCTAAAGAGTGAAAGGCGTCAGATTTCCTGAAGAAGATTACTACAGGCGGCAAAGTTCTTCTGTGAAGAGATGGAGCCTAGACGAGTCATGTACACCAACCAGCCACCGTGCAGATAATCGAAGGAGGTGCATCGAACTAAGTCTGTAAGGCGTACGTCTCCCGTCGACAATCATCACATATTGTGTGCTTCAACCTTCTGTGCTTGTCAAGTCGTCGACATATGAAAGAAAATCGGAAAGCAAATAAACCCTAGGGCGGAACGTGATATGGGTTAAATTCCTTAATTATAGGATTTCAATTAGGATTATTTAATGAACCGGTAAATAGAAATTATAATTAAATTATACAATTTGACTATTTTACCCCTAGATGTTGATTGGTCCAAAATTAGTCATACGATCACACAATATTTATAGGTTATATATGAACCTCTCTCTCTCTCTCTCTCTCTCTCTCTCTCTATATATATATATATATATATATATATATATATATATATATATAGAGGCTCGTTTAAGCTCGTTTAGGCTCGCGAGCCCATGAATTGAAGCTCGGCTCGAGCTCGTTTAATAAACGAGTCGATCCCGAGTAGCTCACGAGTAGCTCGGCTCACTTACACCCCTAAACATAACCATAATACCATATGCATATATATGATTTAGGCACAAAGTTAATGTATTACATATACTGATATACATACATAGGATGTTGATATCGAGATAGAAAGATACAGCAGCATAGCAAGCCACTGCTGCTTATTAATTATTAAGTATTATAATAATTGCAACAAATATTATTTCTCAACTCTCAAGCAGCTGCATCAACAGTGTCCCCCTTCTCCACAAAAGTTTCAAGATACTCTTTCCTGCATCATTTTCATTAAAAAAAAAATTAACAAAACTTAGATAGAATGTTTTTGGAAATAAATAAAAATAAAATAAAATAGATACCTTGCAGGCAAGTGATCATGTGGTCGATTAAATGGAGTCCAAATTGGGTCACCAACAAAAAGCCGCATCGCCTGCCAACAAAATAAAACAACAATTACTCATAAAATAAATAAATAATCATAATTTTAATAATTAATGATTTTTTTTTTTTTTTTTTTTTTTTTTTTTAACCTTGATGTAGTTATCTGAATCAAGTGTGAAGCGATGATAAATGCCAGCTGGCAACACAATCATGCCGCCTTTCTTAACCCAAACGCGAATCCAAGCATCATTTTTATCTCTCACATCAAAGTACCCTTCAAAAACAACAACAAATTAAAAATAAATAATTAAAAAAATAGAACACAAAAATAAATAATTAGTAATTACCACTTCCAGCAACACAGTAGCGGATCTCCTCATCAGTATGAAGATGCTCTTCAAAAAAGCTTTTGATCTTTTCTTCATAATTTGGAAGCTTTTCTGGCCGAATGTCACAAAAATCCTGAAAATTATATTATTATATGTAAATAGTAAATTCAATGTATAGTTTTATATTAGATTCAATTTTCATATGAACTTTTTATGCAAATATTATCCGATTCCATTTATTGTGTAAGATTTAAGAAAGATGAATTAATTTAACACAAACCACATATGAGTATCCACGTGATTCACGGATTTTCTTCAATGCTTCATCAGTTTCATAGTTATCAGCATCCAAACGCCAACTAAGTATCCCAAGTTCTGTGTCATTCACAAACTAATTTATTTATTATATAAAAAAAAAGGTAGTTTATATAAAAAATAAAAAATTACCTGCAAGTTTTTCTAGAGACACAAATTCCTTTGGGTCCCTATGATGGGGAAGCCTTTGGTCTTCATTGCTATCATCCATATACCATGCCTGAATTACCTCCTCCCTCTCATCCTATTATCACCAAATTATTTTCCAGGATGATGGTGAGGGCATTCACGTCTTTTGAACAAATTGAATATCAATCACATATTCATAATCATATCAGTTACACATTCTTATCCGTTCTCTTTTATCAAATTGACAGATGAATGATCAATTTGGGAGAGAAGGACAAAAAAAGGAACAATTGACAAATGAATATAGTTCATTTGACATATTATTATTATTCATTCTCTATGTTAAGAAAATATGATTAAAAGTTAGACAATTATGATGAAATAATTATAACTTTGAGCTGATACATATTTTCTATGTAAGTGAGAAAGTATAATGATGTTTCCATGTACTTTTGTCCAAGAACTTCGACTTACTTACCAGTGGTTCTTGGTTTAATCTAGTTATATATTCTCCTCAAAGGCTTTACTATCCATGGATTTCTAGAATATGTAACTTATTGCATAACAGGGGTATTCTATGATGGATCATTTTGTTTGCAGAATGTTGTAGAAGGAATTGGACTTTGAAGGATTTGGTATCCCAAAGAATGGAACTTTGTCATGCGTATTTGAGCATTTCTAACAGGATGAAATGTTGGGAATTGGATTCCAAGGGTTTTAGGATGGATTGTTGAAAGCCCAAAGTCAAAGAATTCTATAAATTCTGAGAGAATTCAATGTAAATTCCATTTCATCATCAATGATGATTGGCTTTTGAACTTGGTTGGATGTCAAACAGGGGATTTCACTACCATGAGAACCTTCGTATGAGTGAGATTACTAGTTTAGAGGAACTTTTTTGTATTTTCAACCTACGTCCTTGAAATATCCTTTTAATCCAAGAGCTACATGTTGTCAATCATTGCTGTAGTTTTCCTCTCTTTTGACCAATAAAAATCCTCCCTACGCTATCAAATCGTCTTTCATAGAACCAAAACTCATTGAGAGTTGAGACCTAACGAATTCGATTACAGCTAAAATGTTTAACTACATGAGCCACCACTTACAAATTCATTTACGTATTGGCAAAACAGAGCAAATTTATGTTGATGATTCATGATTTATCAGAGGTATTAGGAAAACCTGCAGTGTGCAAAAGTGCAACTCTTCTAGTATCTACCCTGATTACCAATTGGTTCGTTTAGATGAAATTGAAAATTCAGAATTCGTATCCTACAGAAGAGGAACTGTTCGTTGGGGAAATCAACCGATTAAAAGCAAGTATTCAGAAAATCAAGGATACCGAATTAACAGACGTGATAACGAAGAAGATTAGTAAGTACCTTGCAAGCAGAACCCATGGAATTGGATTGATTTTAATGGAAGGAAGAAACGAAAACGAATTGTTGAGCTTTGAACCTACGCTGGAAGACAAGAAACCCTAGTCAATTTTCCTCCCTCACAAATCATATATATACCAACGGTGTTAACCGGGGAAACTAACATTCATAAAATTGTATAAAAAAAATTAGTTTCATCTATTTAAAATAATAATAAAATTTTATAAAAAGAATTATTTATAAAATGATATGTCATCACAAATTTTTTTTACTGGACTTTGACCAACGAAAATTCTTTTTTCTAATATAAAATACCATGTATATGAACATTTACGAGTACAAACAATTTAGTAATATAAAGATGTCAAATAAATGTTTTTTGTAATTTACTCTTTATTTAAAAAGTTGCTTTGAAACTTAATATGAAAAAGTTATTTATTAATAAATAAATAAAATATATCTAAATAACTTCTTTTTTTTAAATCAACCTTCACTTTTTTTTTATCAAATATAGTTATTGATTGATATACGAAACAAAAAATATAAAAAATAAAAATAATGTATGGTAATGCGTTTCATGCCACCACCAAATAAGGAACAATATCCATACATTGAATCGACCAAAATGCCCTTACTCTTCAAAATGATAATTGCTTTTAATCTTCAAAAGTGATATGTCACTGGATACGTCTAATTCTTTGAATGAAATGGCTAAACCAATTGTTAATTATATATATTTTTTCAACTTTGAAGCACAGTAACAATTCATTTTAAGTTAAATTTAATTTTTACATAAAGTAACAACAAAAGTTTATTTTCAACCGATCTTTTCTCTACAAAATTGTGATACAAATATTATAAAAGAAGAAAAGTTGAATGTTTTATCATATTTGCATAAAATGACAAAAATACATGGCCACAAATAAACAAAATTTAAAATCTTAATATTTTTTTTTGTTTCAACAATACATCATCTAGAATAGAACTATTTGGGATAAACTAGTATCTATGCAACAAAATCATTGGTACATAATAATCTGGGGCATACACGGTGCATTTTGATATGGTTTAGAGTCAAAACCGCACCGCATGTGCGGTTTAAGATTTACGGAAACCGCAAACCGCATCGCGAAGGTTCAAAGCCGCGTTATGCGGTTTAGTGTAGTGTGGGCGGTGTAACGCCCAGATTTTTAACACAAAATACACCCATTTTTTTATATAAAACATGAATCATTACATTCGGTGTACACTTATATCACAAATCGGTACAAGTAGTTATCAAGAGGATTTTACAAGAATCTAGTGTAAGAATCCTAAGTCGGACGTTACCAACTCCATTTCCTTCTACATATCTACTTGAACATGAAAGACATATAAACAACAAATAGATAAACTACAAAGAGCTTAGTGAGCAACCTGTATACGACAATATAAATTAGTTATACAACTAAATATATATCGTCACATTCTTAAATGTCTTCCACTCATTCAATACTCGGTACAACATTTCTGACACCATGTCTGCCATTTATCATTCATATCGGACTTACAGTCAAACAAGTCATCATCAATTACACTCAACATCTCCCTAGTAATAATTAATACTTTACAATTCTTCTAACAAATATTTCTCTCCTTGACATTGAAGCCTTTTAAACTTTCACAACAACATATTCTTTCGCAAATATAGTATTTCAATCACCAAGGTTACTATAAATTTACAATTCTCCAAATGATAATATTACAGCCACCAAAACTATTATCATAAGATAATATTGACATAGAAGCGCTCAAACATTCTCACAATCCTATGGCGTTACGGTAACTAAGACCACCACAAATAATAATTGATGATATAGTGGTGTTACAATCACCAAGACCACAACTAATATTAGTCGATGATATCACGGTCACTAAGACTATCATGACTAATAATATTCATTTACAATGGTATTTCCAGCACCAAGCATACCATTACAATCCATATTTTCATCAAATATCATATAGTAGTAATTACAGCACTAAGCATACCACTAATAACCGATTCCTACACAATGGTAGTTACAGCACAGAACATACCATTATTTCTTTCTGAACAATCTACAAGTATAGCGTTACTGACACCAAGTCTGCCATTGACTTGAATTTCTCTAATAATGGTATTACAATCACCCAGACTACTATACATTTCAAACCCATGGCGTGCCAAACCAGGAAATACGCCCCAACCGCCGTCGATAGTCGAACGATAAAAAACGATAAAACAATATTGTAAACGCCAAAAATTTCAACCATCACTCTTATTAACGTCAAAACCATAGGCTCAAAAATATGTGCGCAAAAAGTCGTATCACTTTGCGAGCAGGTTAACATATTTAGACTCTACACGCTACCACCGATCCAGAAATATAAATTTCGCAAGAATCCGACACAGTATGAGCAAGATACGACATTTATAGTAAATAAATGCATGCCCTACTTAAAAAGGTACAACGTCAAAACTATAAGGAGATTTGTCAACTTTTGGGAAAAGTCGCCAACTAGACGAACATAGTACCACTTAAAGTAGGAATTCTGGAGCAAAGAATGCTTAAAACGGAGATCGTATAAGAAAGATATGATTTTTAACAATAATAAAAACACGTCAAAAAATGAAACTCAAAACTAGCCAAAACGACCAAAAGGAAAGTTGTAGAGAATGAAGAGATCCACACGAATATATAAGAGTCGTCAAAAACGGAGTTTGTATGCGAGAGTTACGAATTTTAGATGTTGAATTATCTCGTCTCGCGTGCGTCATCCCGTATCTCGATGAAATCGCCGTGAACACTAACACATAATTTCATCGAGATACAGGATGTCGTGACGCACTGAGGAGACGACACGTGGCATGATCGTACAGTTCGCGTGCATTTGCACGACGCGCACCCTAAAACCTGCTATAAATAGCAAGCTTCAACAAACCATTTCCCTCACCCCTCTCACTCTTTCTCTCTCTATCTCGATTCTCGTTCCGTTATTCTGAGTGTCTCTCAAAGTCCTAGCTTGTAGATTCCTACCCTACATCAATGGATTCATAACTATCAGGTGAGTTCACGACCCCATTTTCCAAATCTTTTTGCCGGGGGGGGGGGGGGGAGGATGGGGGAATACATGTTTAAAATGCAACTTTACATAGTTATAACTAACTGTAGTTAGATAATTATACTTATAACACTAGAATAATATTATGCCTGGTAGAAACTTTGCCCAAACTCTTTAGCTTATATTATGCCTAGTTGTTATACTAAACCACAATGATAAATAGAATCATATCTAGTTGTTATGCTGGCCAGTTTCCAGGAAACACCGATACTCTTGTAGTTACTATAGCAAAATCTCTAGGGTAACTTAGTACCTAGCCTTTATTCTGGCCAAATCTCTCGGATAACATTTCACCTAGTCGTCATTTTGGCCAACTCTCTAGGAAAACATTATACCTAGTCTTTATTCTGTTAAATACTCATAGATAATATTCACACGGCGTCGTCGTTATGCTCAAGTCAAGTGGATAATAGTGGTATATTATGTCGTAACTATTAACCGAATATATTATATATATATTTCAGATTTTATTTTGTTATATATGTATTGTTATTTAGTCTGATCTGTACCATATTTAGATTATTTGTTTCCTGTTTTTCCGTTTGTACAACTCTGTATATATTGGCTCTTGGTTAATGAGGGGAGGCATTCAATCTCAAAGATTTACATGGTATTAGAGCCAAATCTCAATACCTATTTTTTTCTCCTCTCGTTCTCATTCACAGCCAAGGCCGTGTCATCTTCACTAAATCACCATGAAAAACAAGCCATAAGTCAATCCTAGCAAAGCGATCCACCCGATCTACACCGTCACGAATATTCAGAACAAGGTGCGTGTTCTTGATGGCATCAAAGCCACTTATTCGTCGTGGGTACGCCTGTTCAAGCTCCATGCCCAAGTATACAAAGTCCTCACTCACATCGATGGTGCTGCTCCTCCAGCAAACACCGATCCAGCCTATGAAACTTGGTCAAAAATCGATGCAATTGTTCTCCAATGGATTTATGGAACACTTTCTGATGATCTCCTGGTTCGGGTTCTTGACCAAACCACCGCTCTTGATGCCTGGAATAAGGTCAAAGACATATTCCTCAATAACAAAAGCTCTCGCACGGCTGCCCTAGAAAACAAATTTAACAACCTCACCCTTCGTGCCATGTCATTTCTAGAAGCCTATTACCAACGCCTCAAAGATCTCGCATCCCGGCTTGAAGATGTGGAGTGCCCTGTCTCCGCCAACCGCCTTGTGTTACAACTCGTTCGTGGTCTTCCCTCTGAGTTTGATACCATCGCTGCTTTAATCAATCAAAGTTTACCTCATCGGACACGACATGTTCCATGCTTCAACTTGAGTGGCAACGCCAACGCGCTCGAGAGGAGGCATCAGCCAACTCTGTATATATTGGCTCTTGGTTAATGAGAGGAGGCATTCAATCTCAAAGATTTACAGTAACTACGCTCAACTCAAACGGATAATAGTAGTATATTATGTCGTCACTACGCTAAACTCAAAACGAATAATAATAATATATTATACCGTCACTACGCTAACGAATAATTATATATTACGCCGTCACTACGCTCAACTCAAACGAATAATAGTAGTATAGTATGTCGTCACTGAGGGGTATTATGCAAAACATGTAATCCTATGTGTGCATGAAACCCTAAATTATGATCTACGTTTTCTCTAATTGAACATACAATATGAACAACAATGTAGAAACCCTAGAACACTAGCATATAATCAAAAATACACAATTAGGGCTATTGAAACATACCTTGATTGTTATATAGCAATAACAATCTAAATCATTAGTATTGTAGAAGCTTTGAAAGCAAGCGTCACAGTTGTCACGCCTCTAATGGCTCACACACAATACTAGCAATGAAGAATGATTAAGGAGGAGGAGAGAGGTTGCAAAATTTTGGTTAGTATTCCAAAGATCAAGTGGCCGAAAATTGTAGGGTTTATGTTGTTTATATAGTGCAGTCAGGAAACCCTAGATAAACCTTAATCCAAGATAATATTTAAACCGGGTAATTATCCACTTTCATGTTTATCTACTAAAGACTATTCTAGAAACCCTAAGGCACAAGAAAACCTTCCATGGCCTATGGAGGGTTCTAGATTGCCTCTTGCTCAACTATTGAACAATTACAATTCATTCCCTGCACTTTTAATTAATTCTTTTAATTCCAAAATTAATTCCAATTAATTTCTGATTAAATACTAATTAAATATTACTATTTCTAATTAATATATTATTTTCATAATATATTAACAAATTATTTATTTCAATTTATTAAACAAATAATAAATCCACCTCTTTCTCCAAAATCATCATGTCTAGTTGCTAGTCTTGAGGGCAACCCAAAAGGATTGTGCTACTATCAATTCAAGTATATATCAATTATAATTATGGGCTTAGACACCTAATCCAACAGTATCCCACTTGGATAAGTCTAATAACTATAGTTTCCAGTTTATTCTTCAAAACTAATTAGCAAAGTATAGCTCTCAAAGCTGTTGTCAAACTCTAACCTAGTCAGAAACGTGTCCTAAGATAAGTGATAGTATAATTCTCCGTTATGCAAGATATCATGCAAATATGAGACATGGAACAGAATCAGTCTCACTGTCCAAAACTTTGTTTCGTGATTTCTGATTTGTAATGACAAAGAACTACTAATTGAATCAGTCTCATTGTCAAAAACTTTGTTTTGTGATTTTTGATTTGTAATGACAAAGAACTACTAATTGAACATATTAATTTAGTCCTAGCCGGGCCCATCACTATAAGTCAACACCAAATCATTGAGGGGCCCAAAGATATCGCTTTTCCCCCTAAAGAAAAAAAGGAACATATAAACTTTGACTTATATGCTTGTGCTATTTACTCACCAAATCACACACAACAATATATTTTATAACATCAAGTTACTGATGCGTTTACATATTCTCAATGCACAATTGATTTGTAAACCACGACTCATATATCTATGTTTAAAAATTATAAGATATTATCGTCTCAGAATTACTCGTGATAAATTTCATGAAGTAATTCTCTGAGTGTGGGTTAATCCAATAATCAAATTCTCCATTTCAATGTACTCATGAATATTGCAGCAATACATTTGCTATGTCTAAAACTCTTTTAGACAATATACAATCCAATTCATGACAGTCTTGATTCACTACTTACTTCCAAAAGTATGATCGACCGTGGATGTTTGAATAATCTAATTATCCGAGAAGTAAAACATGCGAAATGAAACACAATAATAAACAGTTGGCAAAAGATAGTAAACAATACGCATAAATAACTCAACAGTACTTAATCATCAAGAGTCAATTACATTTATAATGTTAAATGTTTCTAAACAACTATCTAACTACTAAAACTAATATCATCCTTCAGACTAATGCTCCTGGCATGCTGAATGTGGTTAATCCTACTCAGACCCTTTGTGAGGGGATCTGCAGGATTCTCTTCCGACGATACCCTCTTCATGACGAGGTGTCCTTTTTCTACTCTGTGTATGATAAAATGGTATTTTCTGTCGATATGTATCGATCTGCCATGATCTCTCGGCTCCTTTGTTAAGGCAACCGCTCCTTTATTATCAAAGAAAATCTTCATTGCCTCCTTGATGGCTGGAACAACTCCAAGGTCTCTGATGAAGTTCTTCAACCATATAGCCTCCTTTGATGCTTCGGTTTCTGCTATGTACCCTGATTCACAGGTAGAATCAGCCACCGTCTAAGAGATAGAGATCTCATTTCTAGATCTAAATAGGGCAAAAACATAACTTGGCTTAACCTATTAAGCACTTTCTGTTGAAGACTACTAGATCCCCATTTCCAGAACGTTTCTAGCATCAAATAACACATAAAAATCCTTACTTTCTAGACATGCATGTCCAATGCATGTCTTGGACTTTATTAGGTCAAAATGAGGTTTTTTGGCCAAATTAATCTCCCATGTATGATGCTAAAACTCAATATTACTCCAGATCGAAAGCATCAAAGGCCTAAAATGGCTTGGAGATTCATAAATTTGCAAACTTTATGAGATGTCACAACTATGATGCACACACTAAGAAACTACATTAATGATGTCAATTCCATCTAACATACAAGAAGTTCTCCTAGGCTATCAGGCATCATACATCAGGCAATTCTATCATGCAATTCCTGAATATTCCTAGCCTATCACTAGCATGCAGTTATGTCATAAACATTATGAACAAATAAAAGTGTGACTCGAGGGGCTTCAAATATATTTTCTAATGCTTCAGTTGACATAATAATGGATCCCTAAATAGTTCATATCCTTGGAATAAACACCTAAAACCAATACAACATCTAAACATCCCTCTAGAAATCCATTGATCATGTTGAGCTTATTTTGCACCAAATCACTATGAATGACCCATGGTTTGAAATCAAATGGATCAAATATAACTTTTATAACTTAAACATTTGAATTAGGAAGTAATAAAAGTTTAGAACTCAATCATTGATCATCTTTGAGCTCTAAACTTCACATGAACTCCACAAGACATCCAAACACCATTTTTACACTAATTGAATGGATTTTGACTAAACTCGTCAAATAAATATCAAATGCTATTATGATCATGAGAATATCATCATAAAACCATATATCGCTTGAATTTAGATCTATGATCATCTATGATTTGGGAAATCCCTAAACAACAACATAGAAGTTAGGGTTTTATCAAACTCCATAATCATCAAAATTGTGCATAAATTATAAATTGAACTACAAATTTGAAATGAAATACATAATCTAAACATAAAATTAAGTTCATAACATCACTATGAACATGAAATTAAGATTTGGAAATCTAGGGTTTAAAAACCTAATAAATAACACCAAATCTCCAATTCTACCAACTATTTGCTAGTTGGAGATAAGATATGGATCTAAGAGTGAAATCATAACACAAAACTCATAAGATTAAAAGAAGAATTCAGATTACCATAACCTCAAAAACCCTAAATATTTTTAAAGGAAAATGTAGAAGAAAATTATATTTCAATAAAGTAGATGAAGGAGTATGAACAAGACTTCATCTAACAACTTCAAGCTGCTACTCTCCATGGATTTGAGAAAGAAAATCGATCATGGTGGGGAAAAAGGGTTGTAATTATCTTGAGAAGAATGGGGAGAAGAGGCTGAATAAAACCTTAACAAGGAGCTGATATGCATCAATAACGCGACTCGTAACCCCTATGTACGTGAAGCGTAGCCCCAAGTTTGGAAATTTGACACTTTTGGTCCCTTCTCCAAAAATATAGACATTTTGAATTTCCAACATTATACCTCTGCCCATTAACTAGTCTCACTCCTATCTAAACAAAGTAATTTAAATTATTATTTCATTTTAGACTCTTTTGATTAATTAATTAATTTCAGAGTCTTCTGATTAATTAATTAACTTATTTAACTATAAGATGGCAATTAAATCCTATAATCGCCTTTTATAATAATTATTATCACTTTAATTAGGTAAAAGAGAAATGGGGCGTTACATGGCCAGTGAACATTTTTTTTGTTTCGGGGAAAGTTTTCTTTCCATGTAGCTTATTTGTCACCATGTCATCGTACTAACGAAGTGGGTTCACTTGAAAACCGGTAGTTTTAGGTGTCGATCCTCTATTTAACATATTTAATACAAGTTTAATGACCTATTATATAAAAAAACATTAATGACCAAATCGGGTAAAAGATAATACTTAGTTATGCTACATTGATATTTTTCGGAAGAAAAAAATAGTTAATCAACAAAATCGAAAAGAATTTATTGATAAATAATAAAATTATGTTGAGTTTTTCTATATATTTATTATTTTATCTCATATTATTTTTTTAGGCAAAGATTGGATTTATGTGTAGAAGTGTTTGTTTCTTTTCAATTAAGATGTACATTTTTATATCATTAAATCACGTAGGGCGTGTGAGTAGGGCTAGGCCACTTGGCTAATAAGGTGTCTAACAACATATTTCTAACAAATAGATCATGGTTCAATCTCAGGTATAAACTAACTCGTCGTTCTAAAAAAACTAGTTAATACAATATATCTGAATCGATAGGAAGTTCAACTTTACTTCTGAATCGCTAAGAGACAAAACCGAATCATTTAGTTGTTAAGATGACTATTTTGCCCTAACCGTAACATATGCCTCCACCCTTGCATTCATGCCTCAAACCTTCTTCCTTGGCTATTCTCCAATTATCTAACCCACCTCGTCGGCACCGGACAACGCCGCCGACCCAATAGCACCGTTGAGCCCAGTAGCGCCACGATCCAAGCAACGCTGTCGTCGAGCTCCTCTGCACCACCAAGCGTGCTCTCTGCTGTTTTCGTCGCCAAACGTGCTCTTC